GTGGAAAATGGCGAAAAAACGAAGCGAAACGGTCAAAAACCTGCGAAGGAAGCCTTCATTCTTGATGACTCAGAAAGCAATTTTGGACGAGTTTCCCGTAGGCATCTTGCCAGTAACCGCTACGGTAGATAGGCTGCACGTATGTACTCATATATCCATGCAGCACCGCAGCCGCTTCATATCAATCCCTTCGCTTCATATTTTACTTGCAAATGAAGCAATACGAGCATCAGGTACGGTCGTCCATTTGTGGGCGGGCGGCGCGGTGGGTGTCTGGATCGGTATGTTGAAGCTTGATAGGGCTCTATAAGAGAAGGTTTCTTGGAAAAGGTGCTACGCAGCGCCTGATCAAGGGCGCGGAACCGTTCTGCCAGGCGTATTACTCCTGCTCGTTTTAGAGTCCTATCGTGCCAACTGCCTTCAAGAATTTTCTCCTCCGATTCATAAATTTTTTCCAGATTCCACGATTTGCTCGAAAGTCTGCCGACGAACTGTGTCTCTCCAACCAGCTATCAGAAAGGCATGAAGAAATGCATGAACAGGCGTGGACTAGAAGGAGAGAGAGAGAATAGTCAGCATTCAGAATAGTCGTAAAAGTTTTAATTCTCCTGTGCTTTACGAAGGCACTTATCAAATTTGGCCCAGTGTTGGCCACTCTGATCGTGAGAAGCTTTCTTGTCTAAGCGGAGAAGTTTCAAATACGTCCCCTCCCAACCATGATATGCCGCGTTTACAATATGAGTTTTCCGAAAGTCGTGAACAACGTTCATGCTTTTTTCCAAGAAGGGGAAACACTCCAAGCTCCTATACCCATTGACAGTCTACAAAATAATGACCATCGAGATTCGCTACGTACGTTCAGCACTTCACTAGATTATCAGGGGCTAACGTTCGAACATTAGCGGCTGTGGGTAGCGGTTGTGGAACGACGAAGCGCGTAATCTCGCTTCCTAGTTCTGCTGATCACGATTTCTCTCTCGTAGACACAGCTTCGGTGCCTGATAAATGACATTCAGAAGGGGCGAAGACAAGACAGAATGCCCTAGGGCCCCCACTTCCCAACTCCCCTCCCCCCGAAAAGTCGACAACACGTTTCTGGCAAATGGGCTTTGCCATGTGAGGTCGGGCACTGACGCATTGACAGATTTGCTATGGAAGGCAAACAGTTCACTCAACTCCAGTGATCCTGATTGTTGCCGTGGGTGGGATGAAGGGGTGCGCAGCTGCAGTAAAGCCCCACTTTCTCCAGTAAAAAGTTCACGGAAACTGAGTTGTAGGGTGGGGATAACCGGGTGCCGTCTCCATACTCCGCACGCGCTGCCACACGGTCAGCCACGCACCCAACTATAGCCAAAAGCGCTACTTTGGCTGCACTCTCTCACTTCTTGTTGTTCACTACCGGTGAGTGCGTGTTTCGCTATGGGACCTTGGTGTCCACAAGCTTTCGCGTTAACTTACACGTCTGAAATCATTGCAGTTCCGGACAGCTGACAAGCAGCAGACAAGGCAACAGGACAGACAGACGTTCGAATTATAGTAGATCCTATCACGGATCGATTCACTGTACATTGCAATGAGTTACCTGCAAGGGCAATAACAATTGCTAGACAGCAAGGCCAACGTAGGAGCAAGTCCTTTAGATTACAGTTCTTTCACTGCGGACGTGGGGCGTTCCAAGGTGGGCTGGACTTGTCGCAGGGCCAGCCGGTTTCTAGCCAGCTGTGGTCGCCTGTCAGCTTCCATACCTGCTAGAGAACGGAGTAGCTCCATTCCAAGTCCAGCCTTATCCCTGAGACGCTCACCATCCGCTCCGAGCGAGACTCTACATATCTTAGCAATCTTACCTGGGAAGTGAGAAATTACAGCTCTCGACTATCTTTTCGAAGACCTTGTTCATGCAGCTAGGTGAGATTGCGCTTTCCACTTGAACTCATTCTATCTTCGAATCCTCCCTCCACTGACTCAAATCTAAGCGACTCGAGTAAGAACGACATTTCGTTGCTAGATTCTGTGTACGGGGGTGTCTCTGGCACTAGCAGAAAACCGTTCGTTTCATCCGTCTTATAATGACTGGCTCATCTTCCTTTTAATTCCCCAAAATTCTAGGACGCGGATCACTTAGTTGCTGATCTATTACAGAGCGTACAGTTTCGTTCTTTGCGGATGATGGGGGGTGCGTGTCAAGAGGGGAGGCTAAATTTGCCGGTCGGCACCCCTTTCGCTAATCCTGAAGCAAGCAAGGAGAAAGATTGTTGTGAAAAGAGGTCAAGTCTTACGCAAAAGCCAGCATCTCTGACAAGCTCAATATCTGCAGCGAGTATCTGCAATGTTACAAATTATATTGTACATATAGCTTGAAACATTTCAATCAGTCTGGGGGCGGTCTCAGTATGCGCGGGCTAACCCGTCTCCGATCTTGCTAAATGCGTGATCGGGTAGGTGTGAAAAGAAAAAAAAAACTAGTGGTGGAAAGGCCGCAGGTAGGACTTCTGATTGCGACCCGACTGATTGCGGTGAACAGTACATAATCTTACATTAGTTGCACACATCCCGAAGGTCAAACGGACACAGTTTACGAATCTTGCTTTAGAACAAATATCGCGGTGTAGTTTAGGTATCCCGTAATCTAACAGGAGTGGCTATGTGACGAAGTGAGGTACTTACCACTCGCGCGGGCCGGGTTTTAAATCCTAGTCAACTCCTGCCCAGGAAACAAGCCTCCTTATCCTCCTGCGCGACGTGAACTGTGGTAGGCAGATTCGTCTGAGGGATAAGAGCACTGATTTATGCACCGGTGGCCCCGCAGGCATTATATAGGCCATATCGCTTGAATAAGCCATACAATCTGAAGGAAAGATGATGCGAGCCGCATTCAAAAAGGATTGAGCAACGGCGAAACTAATACTTTCAGTCCAGAAAATCTAATGACTTTCGCATTTCAGACGAGGCAAAATCTCATTGTCCGTCATGTGGTGAAGCGCTCTCAGAGGTGGAGGAAATCGATGACGATATTGAGGCCACTGGATATGTTCAGGTTCAATCATTAGTTTTTTATAATAATCAGGGGGTCTTCAAAAGGAGCCGCTGCTTGTCTGATTAGCCATCATTCGATCATAATAATCCATGAGAAAGACACGTGCTGACAATGATCTAATAGGGAGAACACATCTTCCTATCTTCTCCAACACATTTCAAATACCCATCTAGTATCCGGCGTTCTTTTATGGTCAACATTTTTTGACCAATAGCATGTTCATATTCCACATCATGCCTGCTATTTTCAACACTATTACGGTCTATGGAATGGTGGTAAGGAGCGCTGATCAGGTGCGCAGATGAGAGAAAAGCCGGGAATTGGTCGAGCATTTGATCATACGAATGCAGGTAGGCGCGATGGAGCCACGCCCCGCAAAGCTGAGCCGTATCTCAGAAGAGGTCTGGAGTGCCTAGAGTGCTCTGCAACCGTTTGAAGAAGTTTTAGGACCGGAATCGCCCACCTCGACGCACGCTCCACTCACAACGGGTATGCCTCACACTTGTGAACCGGTTACCCCTCGGTGATCTCAAACTACTTTTCTCCCGGAGTCTGGAGTGTTCTCTGATCGTCGACTTTTTCAAATTTAGCTCCGCCCACCTCGCCGCACGCTCCGCCCACAGCGGGTGCTGCCTCACACTGATGAACTGATGGACAAACATCGCTGTTCATTGAATTCCTTTCTTCCCCTTGGCTGTCTGGGGCTCTGTTGCCGCGGTCTGTGTGTCGCGTCTTTGGCTCACCACCCTTCGGCGGCACGCCGCCCGCCCAACAACTATGAAACTTCTCAACTAATAGCTCTCGCTGGATCTTAAACTATTTTTCCCCCGGTGTCTGGAGTGTGCCTGAACCGTTTGCGAATTTTTTTAATTTGGCTCCGCCCACCTCGGTGCAGGCTCCGCCCACAACGGGAGTGCCTCGTACATCCTTACATTTGATCACTTGGGGACCATAATCCACATTTTGGCACCTTCTGCAGTGCTTGGACTAAACTCGACTTTTATACTGTTCCTCGCGCATGCACGCCCCGCCACAGGCGGCCTCACCACGCCGTAACATGGTGGACTCTTGCCAGACGTTAATCTTCGTCATGGACTTTTCTGCGATCCCTAAACATTTTCGGGGACCGAGTTACCGACCTTTGTGGGAAGCGCCGCCCATCTCAAGTACGCCCCGCCCATTTCAAGTTAATATCGCTATCTTCAGGTGTCTCCTCCTCCATGGTGGCCGTGTTACCCAGTGCTAACCTAATTCCACTTTTTCCAGTCTCCGAACTGCTTTGTAGCCAAGTTATGGGGATTTTTCAGTGACACGGGAAGCGCCGCCCATCTCAAGTACGCCCCGCCCATTTCAAGTGTATCTCCTCTGTTTGGTCGGTCAGGCCTCTGTTAACTTTACTGCACTGTTTCCTCATCTCGGGACTGCTCGGTAACCGAGTTATGACCTTTGTCTTCAGACATCGATAATATTGGACGCACGCGCCCGACCACTGTGTGTGGGGTTACCATAGGTCATGAGGTGTATCAGGTTTTGTTCCCTATGCCTTCTACGCATCTTCACCCTGATTGGACATGCCAAGCTCTTCTTCAGGTGCTATGAATTTCGTGACAGACAGACAGACAGACACACACACACACACACACACACACAACACACACGGACATAGCCGATATATTAGTACGGATCTGAAAGCACGCCCGGATGGAAGAGGGAGCCGATCTAGATCTCAGCCCTTCCCACTAAGCGAATTCTTCCTCTTGATCTTCTCGAAGAATATAATTCAACGAGAGAGAGAAAAAAAATAATGAGACCCTATCTTGGTGAAACGTACCTCCATTTCCTAAGTACAACGGAGATCTCCAACAGATCCAAGATTCTTTCCTCAATATGAGCACAGACCGTCATTTGCTAAAAAATTACTTGGTCTTCCCGATTGCCATGGAACAATTCCCATGAAGGCCTTGTAATGGAATTCGCTCCGTCCGAGCAGTTTTCTAAAAGTACAGTACAATGTTTCAGGTAGTAAAAACAGACGATCGGTCGGTAGCCCCGCGATCTTGGTATTGTCACGTTTCCCTCTTTGGTATATTACCGGAGGAAAAATCCGATTCTTTACGATGGTATGCTTTTGTATTGTCCGTTTCAGCGCTTTTCACGAAAAATGTCCTGGTTATGGTAAACAAATACAACTCGCCGACAGATTGTTTTTACTTTCAAGTGAAAACATCAGCTCGGAGTGGTGGCACCAATTGTGGGCTGTAATTGGTCTGTCCCTAACGGAATCTCTCGTGAAAGCATGTCAGAGTGGGAGCATATCATATTTGATAATCTATTGATGAACTTATGTGAATTTCGTGCATCTGCACTGCGAAACAGATTAGGATCCACTAAGCGAATAGAAATGGTTTCAGCATTTGGTTAAATGGACCAATCGGAGTTAATCTTAGAAACCAATAATACTCTATGTGAATATCTTCTGCTCCCCTCAGCTCATAGTAAAATTGAAAATCTTACAAATATCTTCGTCTTTACGTGTGTAGAATGTACAGTCACAGATGCGACACAACGCGCCTCCTCAGCTTGAAAAGAATGAACTGATATAACCGACCCTGGAAGAACGTATGTTCAGTGACGGATAGAAAGAGGCCAACAAAACTTTTTCAGGCGAGTTCAAAGACTCTGAAGAGGTACTGCGATGGCTTCGATCACATGAAGAGGTCGTCACATGGGATCTGACAGATGATAATTTCGAATCCCGGACAGATTCACATTCACCAGACGAGGGAACCCTCGACTGGTTTGTCATGTTGTAAGTTTGATTACTGATTTTATAAATTTTATTCATTTTGCTTTTGTTGATGGGGAGGTTAGCAAGATATCATTTTTAGTTATGAGGCCGATTGAAAGCGCCATTGCAAACTCTTTCATTAGCCACGTGAGAGACCGTTAGCTCATACGTGGTGTCATTATTTTTATTTTCTAAACCTTGAAGGTGGTTTGAACCTTTTCTTCACCAAAATGATCCTATTTTCTAAAAGTCAAAAATATTGTGGGAAAGTGCGAAAAGCTCGAGTCCTTAAGGATCACAGTAGTTTCCACTTGAGGCATCTCAGTCCTCTTCAATACGGACTGTCGAAGCGGCAGCCCGCGCTGCAATGTGACGCGACAGCGGCTGCGGCTCGGTGACGGCGAATCAGCTGATTTCCATGGAATTCGGCTGCGAATTACTTTTTCAACTCTTCGAGCTTCGAAAGTGGAACGAGTTATTTATGAAGCAATCTTCAATTGTACTGCACTCCTGAATGAATCTGAAGGAATGCGAGGGCATATTGAATAAAAGCTGTAAATAAGGAATAAATACAAGGGCAAAAGGCAATAAATCGACATAAAAATAAAGGAAATCAGAGCCAGTACAATTCAAAATTGTTAAGAATAACTCACCTTCCACTTTAGAAACTTGAAGAGCTGAAAAAAATAGGAATTTGCAGTCGAACACCGAAATCAGCTGATTCACCGTCACCGAGCCGCAGCCGCTGTCGCGTCACAGTGCAGCGCGGCTGTGCGCCCGACGCGTCCGTAATGTCATGCAGGACTGTTATGGTGAAAGACAAATGATGCAACTGAGATGGTAGATGGCAATTGGGCAAGGATGCCCACTATCACACGTTTAGTCAGTAATCGTTCGAGGGCGCGGTGGACACGGCGTGACTCTAGGAACGCTCAGCGAGGGGATCGTATTTCGAGCTTCGTTGTGGGGGGGGGGGGTGGGTAATGTAGCGCTCGCCCAGCAAGAGGCGCGTACGATCTCGGACATATGTGATTTTTGATTGATTACTAGATGAATTCACCACTATATACCTATTTAATGGCTAACCTCCTCCTGTGCCGCTGATTCTTCCACCGTATCCACCAGTAAATCAACATTTTTTTTCCGAGAAATGAGTTAGACGAGGCAGGGAGGAGGCAAAGTAGGATCTTAAGAAGGGGTCATTCCCAGAGAGAACGGTGGAAAGGGTTGGGGTAGGTTTTCATAAGGAGGACTAAGGCCCGGCACCGCCCACAAGACTTGGAATGGACCCTTAACCCTTCGATAATTCACCACTCTTTTTTTGGAAAATGATTTCTATTTTGAATCTGACCGTAACTTTCACTGAGCGCTTTAATTTTAGGCTTCGAGGTTTAGTGCACGTCGGCAAGGTTGAGACTTCGGTGAACGATGACGTCACTGATCGGTTTCACATCGATGAAAACGAATGCCCAACGTTTTTACTGTAAGCATATTGATTGGTATTATTGACTATTTATGGCAAGATACCGGAATATAAGATAGGGCGCTGTTTGTCGACGGGGGGGGGGCAATTTGTATTATCATTGCTTCCCTAGTTCCAGTTTACAAATCTCATCTGGCGTAAAAACGTCCGTGGTGAACTCTTTGAAGCTGAAGTAAGGCATCGTTAGCCTTAATCTTTAAAGGGTCAACTCCATAAACTCTGCCCTAGATGGGTCGAACACATCCATGGAAAGCAAAGTGCCCCCCCCCGCGTCCGACAAACTGCGCGTAAAGAGGAGTAATATATTGTATTCTTTAGCATTCCATCGCGCGAAAAATTAGCCGCTACAAGGAGTCGCAAAAAGTACGACGAACTCTCAACCAACTTTTGCGCTTTTCAAATTCAAAGAGCCAGCGCAGGAATGCACGGTAATGGTAACAATGTTAGTCGTTTTGATGAGTTCCACAATCAGTGTTCACTCGTGTTTGCATTGACTTGCCGCCTCAAGCAAGGACTTTTGAATGCCCTCAAGCGTATTGGTAAACCACTTACCTACCGATCGAGGCCGCTTTCCACCGTATACCTCAGTTTTTAGCAAAAAGTGACATAGCGATAAGCGAATTTGGTTGCGAATTTTGTTCGATTTCAGGGTGCCGGAGCCGCCGACTGCTATAGAGCATGTGTATGAATATACCAAGGAAAAAATCTTGGACGTTATGGTGAGTGCTACGGACTGTCTCACGTGTTTGTCAAACTGTTCTTTATGTTTAATTTCAAAGCGTAAGTAGATGATGTGGCTGCGACCATCGCAGCTCGCCTCAGTTCTGACAAAGCCTCTGAACGTGTATGTGTTCAAGCCTCCTCATTGATGGTGCATTCTTTTTCGTTACGGTTGATGAGGCGTTTCTGGGGTGTGAGTAGGGGTTTAGAGGCAACAGCACCCCCTCCTTCTGAACGCCCTCAGGGTTAGAACTAGGTCCTCAAGTCCTCCGAAAGTAATACTGCCGTTCGTTCAACTGGTCGTTCGACAGGCCTGTAATCTCACGTCCGCCCATCACTCACTCAGTATGGTTATAGCTATACCCGCGCCATTTATTTTCCGACTTTTTTGGGCAATGTAACAGGTTGACCAGTGCCCGTGGCGCTGGTCCATCTAAGCTCAAGTCTGCTCAAAGACATCCGCTCTGTTGTGCATTCGAATCCTAGAAAACCTCAATCCGTTTCAAGCCCACCGTATACTTCATATCCCGGGAGATGGAAAGGCGTGCGCCTTCGTTTACCAATCTCTTCATGAAAAGTGTTGGATCCCTGACTTCTGTGTTGTCTCTGGGAGTGTCGAAATAGACGATACGCACAGTAGGTTTATCTGGCGAGTAAACCACACAAAAACTAACTCAACCCTACCGCTCACCTCTCTTAAATACGCTCTCAAAAGAGGTGCGCAGTATCACACTTTATCAGAGTTCATTCCTCTATACAACACCTCCCCCCAGTAGAAAGACAAGGAAAAATGTGAACAACAATTTGTCTTTCTACTTACAAAGGGAAAACAAAACATTCATAATTTGAATCTAGACATCAATGCCATATCGTTTCACGGGTCTTCGTATTCTAGTCGATCGTCGCATTGATAGTTCTGGAGAGCACGGTAGAGCGGTGTTGACGTCCAAGTCACTAGCAGTATCGTCGTTGCTTTTTAGCCAATTGTCGTCCACTTCTAACATGTCGAGCAGGGTTTTCAACGATTTGTCTACACGATTCCAGCTTGTCCTTGTGTTGCTGTGTCGTAATTGGTTTGCGTGTTTCCGCATCAGTCTCTTCCACGGGGACCTCATAGTTGACCTTTCTCAAGCGCGTTGCACAATCTCCTTGTTCCATGTGGAGTGTGGGGCTTTCCACATCTGCGCGTACACGTCGTCTCCCTTATGGAATTCCTTCGAAATAGAACCGTTTCTCCTGTCGTATTGCTGCTTCATCTTCCTTCCATTTTCTTCGGCGTACAACCTTCCCTGTCAATGATTCAGCTTCCTGCTCCTCAAGACTTTGTGTGGGGTGGTTCGGTGTGCTTGCCGTATAACATTGAACGTATCCTCTGACAGTTTCTCTTCCCCTTTAAGTTTTCTGATTCCTCTCTTCAACGTTTTCTTCAACTCTTCTTTACGTCTGGGGTTGCAGTTGGCCTTCACTTCAGCCATCATTTCTATGTGGTACATCAAATTCTCATTTGCTCGAATCCATTCGAGACCCAAAAGTGAGCTATGCGGCGTCACATAGGCGTCTCCTTCAGTAGTGACACCTTTCATGGTAATCTTGCATTTAAGCTTTCCATATATCTTCATGGAATCTCCACTTGCGTTTTTCACGACTATATTGGTCTTTTCCAATGCTGGGGAGCCCATCTCTTCCAAATATATAAATAGAAATTCAGTAACGTGATGTCTGATCCAGTATCGAGAAGGAATTTGACAGAGTAGTTGTTCACTACAGCGTCGATGTACACACGGGAAGAGTTGGCTTGAACTGCTGCATTGTCGATCTGCGATTGTACTTGTTCCTCGGACCTCTGCGTTTCTCTGTTCTTGGAGAACTTCTTTTGATATTGCTGCGGGTTTCTGTGTCGCTCTGTGCATGCCTGTTGTCTTCTTGTGCTTAACAGTGTCACAAAACTTTCCTTGTGACGACATCTTGCCCCATCTTCTTGCCTGAACCAAGGTTTCGCTTGGCATCCACTAGCACGATGGTTGCCTTCACAGTTCCAACATTCTATTTCCTTCCGCTTCTGTACGGACGTGGCTTCCACTAGTTTCACAGTTCCGGCGACGACTTCACTGTCTCTCTTGAGGCTTAAGAAGTTTTCGCACTCCTGATGCAGTTGTTGCAGTGAGACCGTTTTGCCTGCTTTGTGGTCTCTATCCAGTATTGTGATCAGCCTCTGCCTGATCTCTGCCTCCTGCTGTGACTTCAATCCGAAAATCCACAGCAAGCATTTGATTCCGTCCGAGTCTAGCTCGTGAATCTTTGCTCTCTCGCAAAATTCATTCACACGACCGGTATACGTGAGGAAGTCTTCTGAAGGGCTCTTCTCTAGCTTCAGACATTGATATCTCGTGGTAAACAATGACGACTTGAAATCGAACAGCTGCTTGAGTATGTCCACGTCTCGGTGAACCCAATTTCTGTCACATCTCTTGGCAGCACGTGCCTTTGGTACTTCTCGAAAGAAAGAGGATCCAATTTTTCGCAGAGCCGTCTGACCTTGCTGCTTTCAGAGAGCTGCTTTGCATCTTCGAAGAAAACATCCTTGTATCTTGAAAACCATTTTGAGAAGATCATGTCGGCATCCGCGGTACCTCGAAAACGAACTTTTCAATGCGGTTGCTCAACGCTGCCATCAAGTTCGGGAGTGCCATGTGCTCCGTCGCATTGCAATCTCCCTGTCCGCGTTCTGGAATGCGATCTAGCAGTTTTGCGATGACATTCTTCTGTTCGTCCATCATTTCTCTGAACATAGCTATGATGGTGGTCGT